CTGTCAGAGCCAAACCACGGTGAGCATCGTCGATCTTACCATTCCCGTCGTAGATCAAGTAGCAGTTTGCCGTTCGGTCGAAGTAGAGTTCGAGGTGTAAGACGGGGACCTCTGTTGAGACCTCTCCAAGCCGACGTCTCGACAGCTGTAAGAACATGCGCTCTCCATCGTGACCTTGCCGGACGCTGTCGACAGTGAATCGCCATGTTCCTTTCTTGGGGATGGGAAGTTCCACAACGTCATAACATTGGTCGTGGGCCAATAGTAAGCCCGCCTTGTTTCCACGGCCATGGAATGGGTCGCAGATGATCTTGAGTCTGTCTGTGCCCGACGTCGTGATATCTGCAGAATGGTGCTTCTGAAATGACATAATGTTAGTTCTAAATAACTACAAGTTGCATGGGGGTTCTCGTACCTGGTTGAAAAGGATAGCAGCAGTGTCATCCCAGACCTCGTTGTTACTAGCGACTCTGTCGCCAGAACCCTGTTTAGGCACATACAAGTCGCGTTGCAGCATCTGAATGCCAAATGCCGCGCCGTTGCTCATGTACTCATTAACCGTTATTGGCTTGGAAGTGGCCAATGCGGCACCTCGGGCGACGTTGAAGGCTCTGTTGGAAAGCGCCCAGGGGAGCGTCGGTCAGTAATCTTATGGTATGGGGATGCCGTGGAATGAGAAGATGACTTACGGGCTGCCATTTGCTGTATCATAAGCGAAGATGGGCTTGAACCTTAGCCCTGCGTCTTTGCAGTACTGTCGGAGACGTCTCTGAACCTCGAAGTGCCTTGCACTGCCCCCAGTCACCACCACTCTGCACTGATGAGACGCGCCATATAGCCGCCCAAGGTCATTGATGTGTTGCTGAGCCATGTCTAGAGGAGCTTTCATAGCTGCCTCAAAAGTGGCTTTGACATCCGACTCAGGAATTAAGACCGGGATAGAGTCTGAGATGTTAGCATGTAGTCTCATCTCCCGAAATGTTTCGACGCCAGATTCGGCAATCTGCTGATGAAAACTTTCCAGGAGTTGGGCACGTAAATTTTCATCGAGAAAGGACTTCTTCCTGTCTGGTCCGTCGGGTTTCAGCGTTCCTTCGGTGCAAAACTCGCTGATGTAGGATTCCCAGTGCTCGGTACCACCGCCAGCCCCTGAATGTTGTCGTTGGTCAGCAACGTCAAGCCCATTTGCCAGCCCGCGTGTCAGAGTTTCTGAGTACTTCACACAGAATCTAAACTTCCAGCTTACCGAATGGATCCCCGAGTCTGAAGAATGCTGCCGCGTCTACACATGGAGATGCTCTGGCTCTGAAGGGGCAACCGCTCTGTTGAATTGATCAGCATTTTTCGCATTAGACTAGACGTAAACTAACCATGCTGAATCCTCCAAAGTCCAGGCCGAGTATTGTAGTGTCTGCGGTCTTGGGGAAGATAGCTCGATACTTCTGTGCGTTATGCATCAAATAGTGCGCAAATGCTTCGACCTCGGTATGGAAATAGAGATTGCACTCAAGAACCTGCTGTATCGCTTTGGAGGTGAAGGCGCCCTTCAGAAGGGCCTTGTACTCATCCTGCTCATCATATGTCCAGGTAGCTGGAACAGACACGCCAAGCCCAGTGACTTGCCAACCTTCCGACTTACATTTTTCTTCGACCCCCTTGGCCACAATCCTGACGATAGACTTCAATCCGTCTTTGCAGCGTTTCTTGAAATCGTCTCTCCGAAAGCATCCGTCCAGTTCGGCTCGAAGAGGGTGATTGGAGTCCAACCCTTTGCCGTCCCCGAAGATCCACTTGACCAAAACCTGTCGGCGCCCACGACACTGGGCGTCTGGACTGTATACTGGACCGCCATCGAAAGGGGTTATTGTTGGCTTGATCTGGCCTCCACCATAGCGCTTGGTTTCCCAAGCTGGGCTATTCTTGCACCAGAGCTGATCGAAAATGTGGTCATCTCCGATCCGACGATAGAACATCACCCGCACGCCGGTGCTACCTAAATCGATTCCCAGAGTACTCCAACATCAACTGTGAGCTAATTGCGATGAGGTTTAATGTGTTCGATGCATACTCACACCTCCTTCGACTGGGCAGCCATGATGTGTTTGGACGGGGTACTTGTCCCGATTAGACGTGGATGGTGTGATGTGGGTTAGATACAGATCGATGGGAGGATGCTGGATGTATTGACGATGGCGCGGAGTGGGATGTGCGTAAATAATGGAAAAGGGGCATATACCAGCTCTGCGATGCTGCAAGAAGTTATGCAATGGAATGTGCAAGTCGGAGCAAACGGATGTATCATCCGGCATGCATGTGTGACTCCCAAAACAGTGATCAACCGTTCAGCCACAGGTCAGAGCCTTGAAGCTGACTACAGCAAGACACCAGATAATTGTCGGGAATGGAGGGGCATGAGGCTATTGTACTGCCAGCCGATCGACCCTGATCGCTCTGAAGTCACTGAGATGGGTGATACTGTCCTATTTGATACGTACGAGTCGAGGGAGGCGTGATTCTACTTAAGGGGATTGGTATCAGTCATGGCGCCTGGACATCGGAAAGCGTTTGTAACCTGTCGCGGCTTGCTGTAACCGGGCTGCCACTTGACTGGCTGTGTTGGAGACCGATGGGTACTTCGTAACAAAGACTGGTAGCCATGGATTAGTGTCAGTACATGATGCATGGACTAGGGTTCGCAAGCAAACATCCGCAAGACAGCCGAAAGTGGTTACATGCAGGCCTGAGCATGGCCCACAGGCATGCTCGACCAACAATCACACAGCCGCCCGGTTTCCCTGGCTCTGCTCAATTTTCTCAAGTTGGTCTGGCTCACACACACTGCCTACAGGAAGTTCATTGTTGCCACCTGGCTGAACAAAACAACATCCGACGTTGAAGTAATCACGTCGACAAGTTAAGAACGACTGCTCTAGCAGCACCTCTGTATTTTGTACAGGTCATCATCGACAGCTCACAATATTACAAGAAGAACAATTTAACCTAGCGTCATTTTGAGGTGCTATCCTCGCTAGCAACGCCCCTATGTCATCATATGTCACCCGGCTCCGTACGCTTGTCTCCTCCTCCGCCTTGATCGTGGCTTGTGTTGTTTCCGGGTACTTCTACCTTCTTTCGCAACTCCCTGACTGTTGTGCCACCATTTCCGCCCTTTCTCTTAGATTGGCACTGCTCTTTGCCATTTTGTGTTGATATTTCGAGCGGCTCATCTCGAGACTCACCTTGACGCGTCGATACGGCAGAGAGAGTATCTACCTGGCGAGCTACATCTGCTTTGGAGTTGGCCGTAATCTCCCGATTCTTGTGAGAGCTAATCCCCGAAAAAGGTCTGCCTCCTACGCATTGATCAGACAATGGCCATGGCTTGTATCAAAATAGAGCAGGAGACGGGGAAATCGTTTCGAAGGTTTTGACTTCCGCTTTCCAACGGCACCCTCAAGTTCGTCCCGCTGGACGACCACGTATGTCTCATCACCGAAGTCCTCCAGGTTTAGCGTGAACTTCCAGTGCCCAGACCGCGGTTCTAGGAGGTCTATGGAGTCATAGCATGAACTCACCGGGACGAAATCCCATTAGCCGTCCTTGGCTTGCACAGATGGATGACAGACGATCCGTAGCTTCCCCCTTTCGTCATATGCACGTCTGTTGGCCTGCTCATATTCCAGAAGAGGGTATTGGCAGCTTTTCGTAACCTGAGGCGGCGGCGGCTCCCTTCACACCATGCCTTCTAAACGTCCGCCTCGATTAGATGTTCGCTTCCGTGCTTAATGCAACTAGTCGCGTCAAAGGTTGACATTTCAATGTCCCACTAATTTCTGACTTACCTATTTCTTTCCGCCACCTCCATAGCTTATCTTGACACCTCACGACGGGCCGACCTAATACCAGTCCATACGCTGATCTAGAAGAAGTGGCGCCCTCCACGGAGATCCAAATCAGATGCCCTTGCCAACGGTCTACATGCTACTGATATAAGAGGTCCGTTTTCAGCCGAGGCAACATCGATCTGTCCAAGGACGAAACACATCTGGCGCTGACAAGAGAAAGGGGAGAATCTGCTCTTCAAGTATAATATAGACTTATTCTAAGGGCTTTAGTTCCTATCCCATCGAGTGCTGCATGACGCCAGGAGAAGAGTACGCGGGGTACAGCTCATCAAATGTTGTTCTAGTTGATCGATTTTTATTTTATTTTCTTTTTGGCGAATCATAAAATTCAGTGAGGCCAGAATTGGAGAAATTATGGCTCCTCAATGTACTGGCGTCATGCAGCACTCGATGGGATAACGTATCTTCGTTGCCAATGCGTTCCGTCTATCTAGAGATTCTGGCCCAAGCATAGGTAGTACGGAGAGTTTTCGATGGACACTACATGGGCATGGAATGAATGAGCTACAACAAAAACGAAAGAGATGATTCATTTAAAAGCTACAAAACATCACGCCTTGCGCACAGTGAACCATCAAAGGTTACATTACCGTCTCCAGTTCAAGCGATGAGCCGGCCCCCAAGATCGCACTAAACCTGCTAGTGCACCTGTTCACAGCCGCTGCAAATGGTCTTAACTCATCCCGTATCGCTTCCCTAGTTGCTTCAGAGCTTCGTATGGCGTTAAGTGAAAACCATCCGTTCTCGAAGACGACGTAGCGCGGGCCTGGCCAACATCTCCTGGCTGTGTGCTTGCCTTTTGACACCCATAAGAGCGAGCTTCCGTATCAGAATCACTACTAGACGAATATTCTGAACTTTCAATGAGAGTTTGTGTCGTTTGTGCAGGAGGAGCCGGGGCTTTCCTCTTGAACGGCGGCAAGTGACCTGAAGGCTTCACCCCGGGCACTCGGGGATGGGGTTTTTTCCTTTTGACACCCGCAGCACTTTCCTCCCGGACCATATGTTGAAGCTGCTCATCTATGGCTTCCAGCGGACAAGCCTCAAGCCTGCCATCTCCCAAGAGCCTGAGGCCGCGGCCCTCATCGTCCACATCTACGTCCAGGAGACAGCAGTTTGACGTGCCATCGACGTAAGTGGAAAGGAATGCTGTATTTTGGAGCCCCCGTGGGGTTTTCCATTTTTTCCCAGACTTTCGAGTTCCATGACAAGTGTCTTGGAAAGACCGTCCTTGCCGAAACTGAGACGATACCCCCAATATCCTTGCGGAGGTTGTGGCAGTTCGAGAACATCGTACGATCGGTCAATGTCTAATGTTCTGCGTTTCCCTTTGGCGCCCTTCTTCAGGAAAGGGTCGCAAATAATCTTGAGCCTGGTTTTACTGGTGCACCATGTCTTGAAATATTTGGAAGATTTCTTGTTGGAGTAGGAAGAGTCAGTAATATGAAATTTGTGCGTGGGAATGAGGATGATCCACTAACAGAATCAAGAGCAACAGCCACGTCAGACAGCCAGTCGATAGCCGGGCTGCAATCACTTTGTCGTGCACCCGGCTTGAGAGTACTCTTGCGGATTCCAAAAGCAGCGCCGTTGCTCACAAACTCTTCAACAGATAATGTGTATGCTGTCGCATGCGCAGCCCCATTGGCGACATTCCATGTTCTTTTGCAAGGATTAGTCGCCGACTTGGGTCGATACAGACTGGGATGTAGACTTACTCCTTCGCACGTGAGCCATTTTGTGCGAAATAAGGGGGGTTAACCCCGGCTTTCTCGCACGCCTCCTTGATCTTTGCTTGCACAATTGAGTTCTGACCACTTCCACCGTACACCACCACACGAACATCGTATTTCAATGAGGCAGCTCGGGCAATCTCCTTGGCTGCGCGCTCAAGGGGCTCCCTCATGGCTTTCCAGAAGCACTGCTTGGCCTTCTCAGCGGGGACGGTCAGAAAGTGCCCTCCGTCATCATCTGTGTAAAAAAGGCTCAACGCCTCGATTTTTTCTGCCTTCGGTTGCTTAATAGTTTGGTGAAAGATCCGCAAGATGTGTTCTAGTGCATTGGGGGGGAGAGGTGCGTTTCGTTTCTTCTCCAGGGTTTGGACTGCAAATGCAGCTATCTCCTGCTCCCAAATTTGAATGCCACCTCTTTCAACTGACATTGTCAATCAAATCAGCTGGCCACGAACGGCTACTATGCATAAAGCTCAAAACTTACCGAAGGTTTCCCCCACCAAAAAGTAACTTAAATCATCATGGTCTCGTCTTGCAACACAGTGCGTACATCCATTCTGTAATCAGTTAGGAAACAACCAGAATACTCAGAGGGTTTAAGAATACTTGCCAGAGTGTGGCCGCCGAAGTCAATCGTCACCAGTAGGGGCGGCTGGTCGGTAATGGGGCCCATGACGGCATCGCTTTGTGTGATGGTTGAGAAGAGATTGTTGGCGGCGGCCAAACATTCCTCATGAAACACAATTTGAGGCTGAACCTGGCGCAGACACTCATCTTCAAAGGTGGATAAAACCTCCCTGACGAGCCTTTCATACTTCCTCCGCTCAACCTCGGTCCAATACGTAGGGTATGCCAGGGCAATCCCATCGATGTAGAATGGGCCACCTTTCGTCGTTTCGTTGCAATCTCGAACAACCTGCCTGAAAACAGTCTCAATGATCTTCTTCAGTCCTGTGTTGATACGTTCCCACATTGTCTTGGCCCTTGGATCGCTGAGTGCTGCTTTCACAAATTCATTGTTGGTCATAGGCACTTCGGCGAAGAAGGGCTTGGAAGGTGTTGCCACACGGTTGAGATCTATCCGTTCGCCCAAGTACACTCCATCTCCGTCGTCGTTGAGGTACAAATATGGACAGAAGCCGCCTTCTTGGTATCGCTCATCATACCAAGGATTGGGGTGTTGGTTCCAGACCTCTCGTAAGAGCGCCCCCTGATGACGAGGGTAGAGGGATGCACGAACTGCGGTGCTTCCCCAGTCCTTCGACAATATCCTGCGACAGGTGTCAGCTTACTCTCAGTTTATTGTCAACTGTTTGATGTAAAAGTGAGGGACTACTGACGTTGGCTTGCGCCGTTGCGGCGAACGGTTCGCCATAGCTGCCTAGGCTATCAAGGGGTTGTCGTTGAAAAGCTTGAAAATACTGGCCGTGTCTCTCCACGACAGTGTCAACTGAAGATAGAAGCCACTCCCAGGTTTCGAAGTTTCAAAGTGAAAAACAAATTCTTTGGCAGTATAGGAAAAACGAGGAGCATCAGGAGAGCAGGTCTCTCAAGAAGGCAAGAAGAATGGATCGCTTGTGCAAGCAGTCCAAGTGGGGCAAACATTCGGACCGATGCCTTCATCTACGTTGCAAAAGCCAACGTATTCAGCTGCCTCTATTTTTGAATATGAATGGCATTCATGAATGGATGGGGCTATGCAGCCAGGGTAAGTACCTCTTACTTCTTAGTCTACGCACGTTATCTAAGCTAAGGTCCAGGGCCCTTGTATCTTGTTTGCTAATAGAGGCATCAAAAGAATGTAGAGCAAACGCCAAGGTGGTTAATCCCCCTGTAACGCAAACGGACAAAGTATTGTGGTACTTCCATCGTCCGCCGTCTGGTACGCATTCGTCCTCGGCGCTCGCTATTGTTCATTGCCAACCCTCCGTTTCTTCTGTCTATGATTAAAAACAAATTTCGAAGAACTTCAGGTTCCTAAATTCTAGATTCTTTCACTGTCTTTATTCAGTTCTCTAATCAACAGCGCTTGATTTTTGAAAATGGCCCTGGTCAGAATTTCCCCAACTTCCCGAGCCTCTTCCAGCCAGCTGTGCTTGCCTCAAGTGTCTCCTAAGACCATCATGAGTGTCGACTCCCGACTCAAACGGGCTGACGATGGAATCACGCAAGGCATGACGAACCGACTCAACAAACTTATCCGTGATACAGAGGACATCAGACGCAAGACACTGGAGTCCGCTCTAGCTGATATGCCCCTCGACTTTGAGGAGCAGGAGAGACCGTGGGTTGTTGAACGCATTAAAGACAGCTTTCGGGTCCATTTTTCCCACATCCACTACGACACGCTCGACGGCTGTCCTCTGGTATCTTATCACTTAGGGAGGGACAAGCCGTCTACATTCCAAAAGTCGGTGTCTTACCTTGAAGGGACGACCAGGACTGAAGATGTTGTATGTTAATGATTTCAATTCCTCGTATCTGGTCTCTGTAGCTTGTCTTAAGGTGTATTTGTTGACGATGTTTAGCCTGCTTCATCGCACGTCGATCCAATCCAACAGCAAGTGGGGATGACCGGCTCTGTGTCGGAGCATTCAACATGGTCAGTACAAAACAATCCTAACCCCAAAAAGCCTAGATGATAACCCGTGGCTGCAACTCTAACATTGCCGTCACAAAGTAACCCTGACCCCGAAAGGCCCAAACGTCAGCTTCGGCGCTCAGATGTGTCGGATGGGGGGCCACGCAAGAAAGCACGAATTCCATCAAGAGGAGCTGACTTGAATCGCCCTGTGCGCCGTTACATTGTCGAGACTCGTTACACTGAGAGCTGGATATTCTCGTATGTAACCAATGACGTCCAAGAGCATTTCATCCTACGTTGTCCTGTTTCCGGTTGTCCCGATCGCAGCTTCAGCCAGAACCCAATTGAGAGTGGTTGTGGGATCACACACTTGCGAGACCACGGTATAAAGGTCGCCGACGAAGACGACCTCGTGCATAAATATGCGCGCCGTAGTAAGTCTGACACGGATGAGGGCTCTTTTTTGGGTTGAGCCCTGCACTAACGATTTCTTCAGTGATCATTCGCGACGAAAGCGAGACTGGGTCCATTTCACAGTCTTGGGTGGAGGAACATAACAAAGCCATAGGCGAGCCTTATGAAACCGTAGATGGCGAAGAGTGTGACTCCAAGTCTGACGTCGACGAGGACATCGATGAGCTCGGTCAGGATGCGATTCCCTCGCCAAGGGCTCTCGGCTCAACGAAGTCGGAGTTTGAGAAGACTGGAATTGCGGAAATTTCTGTAGTTGAATATGTAGGTCTGGGTAACTGAAGTCGGCCGTGACAAGCCAATCTTGCGGACCAGCATTACATGTTTGCGCGGTCTTTGGTGAGACAGGTTTCGAATCTCCCATTATCTGCGTCTTTTCGTTTCTAGTCTATGAGGTTGGTACACTATGAAGATTTTCTACTCATCTGCGTTACACTTCTTCCACATCAACATTTTTGCTTTGCACGGTTTTCCCACATGTGATTAATGCCTATGTATTACCGGATGAACCGAGTACAGGCACTCCGGGGATTAGGGGCTGCAGAGTAATTATGATCTGCTCCAGCTTAAGCGGAAATCGCATTACCATCCGGTCTGGCTGCATGATAGAAAGCAACAAATCCGCACTCTGACCCCCATTAATTATTCATCGTAATTATCATTCGTCAAATATTGTGATCGACGACATTGCAACTGCGGGCCTAAGCCCGTCCAGTGAATTGAAGCTGCGGCTCGTGACTTGGTAGTTATGAACTTGATAGGCAAGGCGAAGACACCCACTCAGAAAGACTCATTTGGCGTGATACTTGATCGATGGACTTCTTTATACCTAAGTATCAATCACGATCGAGGCCTCAGACCCTCTGCCGCTCAATGATTTCAAGGAATATCAGCCTTATGCGTCGTAAATCTCAGAAGGCTAGTTACAACGAAGCTACCCGCTCGTGCAGGAAACCGCCGTTCGGGATGAAACGTGGCGGACACCTCAGTGAATTTCCATTGCACATGACTAAAGTGTCAAAAATTCTGCCACTCGACAAATTTGGGGAATTATCGGGCTTATGCGTTCAATCTGAAGTGCATTATGCTAGTTACGGCTCTGGCAACCACTCGTGCGGGAAAATGTCGCTTGACATAAACCCGGGTAGGTATGCTTGCATTAGCTCATTAGACCTGACAAAAGCTTCAAACCTTCTGCCGCTCGACGATGTTGTGTGCATATCGTGTCTATAGGCCGGCGGTCGGCGTTTAAAGCTCTTGGCCCACGAGGAAAGCGGTCGTTCATGCCTCCAAGCGACAACTTACGTAGAAGTCATAGGACGCACTTATGATTGGACATTTAAAACGGAAAAGGCCTTAGAGATTCTGTCGCTCAGCGACTGGGAGAAGCTGTGGGTTACTAAGCTTTATAACATAAGGCCTCTGCTCACAAGGAAACCAAGAGAGTATGTAGTAGAGCTTCGTACTAACACAGAATCAAAAGTACGGTAATATGAGCGCCTTTATATACTAATGAAGCCGAAATAGCTACCACTAGACAGTTTCTTGGGAAGACGATATGTATTTATTAGGTGATAATGTCAGGCCAGTTGCCACAAAGTACGATAGACCACTTCGCAAAAGGCTACAGAAACAGCCAAGCTAAATGCGAAATCTATCCAACCCAGTAAAGACGGGTTGTTAAATGTATAATTCAGTTATGAGGGTTTTCAAAAGTCCTGCCGCTGGACGCTTTTGTCGACATTTTTGCCCTCAAGTAGGCGACCGTTGGCTGCTCCCACTGGCCCGCAGAGAGCAGGCCACCATCCCACAAGTAGCTCCCAAGCCAACAAACACATTCGTGGATACTCTCGAGTCTTTAAGCGGTATAAGGATCGCTCGAGGGATTCAGGGGCCTTGGCCAAAATACGGTACAACTGAAGACTCGTGAATTTTCATAGGGTATGTGTTCTGTGCGTATTTATGATTTTTAAAACCCCTTAGAAAGCTTCTTTGCAAACGCGTTCCTCCCCTTCCAAATTCCTGCACCTCCATCCGTCGGGTGGAACTATTCATCGTGCCCTTCCGCTGCCCGCCCTCATTGTCTGCCATCCCTCCGTGCTCATTACTCCTGGTCGCGATACTTCTCGTAGCGGTCAGGGCTGAAGGCTGACCTTCAGCTATTACCATCATGTCTCCTTCATCAATCTCCCATCAATTCCCTGTAGCCCTCTCATACATTCATCTCAACTCTTCCGAAGTAAACAACCGGTCAATCGGCCGCCATCCCGCTAACCTGTCTTCTGGCTCGTTAAAGTCTCCAATCGCTATAAGGCCCCCAATCAGATGCCCCTCTCAATCACCTCAAAGGCCTCTGCAAAGCCAGACTCCCTCTTAGTCTCCTTCCAAAGTCTCTCTTTTAGGCCAGTACCCTCCGAGGTGTACATGATCGCTGGCCACCTGAATTCAGTTAGTCACATGTTCCAGATGGCCAGAGCATCCTGCAGACGATACTTACGGCTTGATCACTCCATCAGAGGTAAAGCTTCCATGGCTCTCAGGCCCCTTCACCAGCGCCGCATCGAGGTAGCTCCTGGCCCCAATCTCTACACTGCGGCCTAGGGTCTTCTTGAACAGCCCCGTAAAGAAGGTTTCCGTCGCCGGCTTGATGATATTGGTGCCGGCCGTAAGCCCTGAGTTGGCCAGATTCACAATGACCTGATCTGGGCTCACATACGTCGCCAGCTTGTCCATAAACAACTGCCCAAGGAATTTTGAGTTCTGGTAGTTCTTCGCAGAGCCCCACCGCCTCTCCTTGTCGGCGGGCTTGAATAGGGACCCCGTCACCATATCCTCCTCCGGCGTGTGCCAGTACGTCGTGTCCGAGCTGACGATGACCAGCCTGCCCGGCTCGCCAGGCGGCTTGTTCTCCTTCATAATCGGCAGCAGCAACATCGCCTGCAACGCTGTGGAGAGGTAGTTGACCTGGAGCATCAGCTCATGGCCCTCCCGTGAGCGGGTGAAGGTCTGTGCGACAACGCCCGCGTTAAGGATCACGATGTCGATCCGCGATAATTCCTTCTTGCATCGCGTCGCAAAAGCCCTCACGCTGTCGTACGACTCCATCTCGAGATGCCACACCTCAATCTGCGCCATGGGGAACTCCCTCCGCAGGCCCTCGGCGAGCGCATCGCCCTTGGTCGTGTTGCGGACTCCCATGATAAGCCGCCCCAGCTGCCGCTCCAGGAACTGACGGCTCGCCTCCAGGCCGAGGCCGCTGCTGGCGCCGGTCATGATGAGGGTCGCGTCGGACAGGTCGAACTCCAATGGGATCTCGGCTGGCGTGATCATGGTCTGCCGGTAGACGAAGGCCAGCGGGTTGGCCTCCCAGCCGGCCTGCTCGGCCAAGGTGTTGGACATGCTGGGCGGTTGCGATTTCGTACCTCTTACTGCGACCGTCGATATGCGGGGGGGATTGGATGTTTTGTCAGGATGGCGAAATTGGCAGATTGGCGAGAAAGCTTGTCAGCTTGTCGAGGTCGGAAAAAGTGGCGGCTACGAGGTGACGTTTGGCAGATGAAGTACCCTCCCGGAGGACCCGTTAATTATGGGGATGAGAAACATAAAACGAGATTGCGCGCCCGCCCTTAGCTCGATTTTCCCGACAGTAGTGTTTGTATAGGACCGGGGCTTGTTAATAATATTTGATGTCATGCTCTCTCTCACTCATCCAACCCGCCCCTTCGATGTAAGGGTCGGGGGGTTTGAGGGTGGCAGCACCGCATTGCTTTGCCTTTGACCGGGTTTTCCCCACGGGGCGCGAGGTGTCCCGAGGACCTGGCGGACGACCAAAGTTGAGACGCGCCAATGCCTACGATCGGACTGAGGGGCGTCGCCTATTCGCGTGCGCTTGAGGGTTGGGCGCTTAGGTATCAGACTTGGTTATGCGTGCGACGTTGGACAACCACCATCACGGTGCCCCTTTGCCAAGAGGTTTTTCAAGAATGTGTGTAAGAAGGAGGCACGGAGGGGGAGAGCTTTGTTTGACGCAGGATCGGCAGCGGGCTCGGCGACGGGGTCAGGGTCCACGACGCTCGGTGTTGCATGTCTGTGCTAAGAAAAGAACGCCGTTGGGGTCCGCAAATAGCGTGGTCGACGGCCGATGGACGCCAAGTCTGGGGAGTGACATCGTGGAGGGTCGAGAGGTCTCAAGAGGCAAAAGACAATGTTTGGAGATGTGAATGTGACCGTCGTCTATGAATAAACCTTCCAGTTAGCCGCGAAGCTCTAGGCCAGTGTCTTGGGACGCATGAAGAAAGAGACATCAGGAGAAGGTTAAGGGGGTAAAACATGTGGTGTACCGGGATGGCGATACAATCTTCGGTGAAACTCGGTGAGCAATCTGGACATTCTCGGTGTGCTCGAACCGATTCCGAAGGCTCCACTGTGGCGCGTGTCCTCCGTGTGGCTCAACAGGCCGACTGTGGCTCGGCATAAACCCGGCTGCCCTCCCTCTTCTAGCTGAAGCCCCTCCAAGGCCCCCTCCCCCTCCTCTTGATTCGTCAGGGTTCATGCGAGGCCAATGGTGGGGTAAAGACGAAGGTGGGCTGGAAGGGAAATGCAACCTTGGCCTTTCTCAGGGTCGTTTCGCCTTTCCCGACATCACCGCCAATCCTGCCCTTCACCGAGTTCCACGACCAAACCCCCCCTAACCCCCTTTCTTTTTCCGGTCCGGGATCCCAGAGACGAACCGCTCTCTCTCCCGTCCACATCCTTCCGTCTAATTTGCGTGTCCTTACGCAATTCCTCCCGCCGACCTAGCCGTCCTCCCCCGACCGAACTTCTCCACCTACCGACATATCTCCCGCCGCCCCCTTCTTCCTCCCACCACCCTCCCTCCACAAAAACCGCCCGTCATGTCCGGCCTCGACGCCCCCGAGATCGCGACGGCCTACGAGGCCGTCCGCTCTGACAAGGACGAGACCAACTGGCTGCTCATCTCGTACGCCAGCGCCGTCGGCAACAAGATGAGCCTGACCAAGACGGGCACGGGCGGCCTCACCGAGCTGGCCTCGGAGCTGGACAACTCGCAGGTGCAGTACGCCTACGTGCGCGTTGAGTACGCCAACGACGCCGAGAGCAAGCGCGTCAAGTTCGCCTTCGTCATCTGGATCGGCGAGAACACAAAGATCATGCGCAAGGCCCGCGTGAGCATCGAGAGCAGCGAGGTCAAGAGGGTGCTGCCCCACCACAGCATAACGGTCAACGCGAGCGACAAGGGCGATCTGGACGAGGACGACATC